TTTGTTCGTTTGTTAGAGCAATATAGTAAAATGTCTGTTTGTTCGTTTCTTAGAGCAATATAGTGAAATATTTCTGTTTGTTCGTTTCTTGGAGCAATATAGTGAAATATTTCTGTTTGTTCGTTTCTTGGAGCAATATAGTGAAATGTTTTTGTTTGTTCGTTTCTAGATGAAAACATGTCTTCATTTGGTGTCAGTGCTTCGTGTTTCTTTAATACTTGCAAGGTACAAGTCCTAAAACTAATGTTTCTAGAAGATAATAAAATTACAGAAATTTTAATTTATGTTCATGCTCTAAATGGTACACACAATCTGGTTCATTCTTATTGGTCCTCATAACTCTCCCTTCTCTAGCCTTTTTTTTCTTTCAGTATTGGGCCAGGCGTGGCCAGTGGTTTGTACGTTAGGCTACACATTTGAGGGTTCGAGCCATAATTTCGCGGAAAACGCTTCGCACTTTCAACCCTGTGTTGCTAGCTAGCTGCTTTACCTTTAACTTGTGAATAATTCAAAATTGGTCTCTGACTTGGCCATTTAGTCGACTTGTGTAGAAGGTGCCATTCGATTCATTTTTTTTTCTCCACTTCCTCATGAATCTCTAATTAATCGCATTCATTTGAAATCCTTCACTACGAGTTCAGTTTTTCTGGGATTGATTGTTTGAACTGTGTTTGGTTTGTTAATATAGAACGAAATCCAGATTTCGTGAACAAGGAAGTTCTTTGAGTAAATAAGGTGACGCTTAGGCCTAACATGCCCTGTATCAATTATTTTTGCATGAACGCTTAAGGGCCCTCTATGTCTGAAAAAGAAAATATTATTACGTAAGTAAAGTTCTCCATGGGCAAATAGGAAATAGTTATAGTTTAGTGAAGCAGAAAAGGTTGCTTGAATTAAACTCTCGTAATAAAAATCAAATTATTGTGAGTTTAAAGCACGTACAGATTGCTATGAGACATAGCAGTGAAAGTTAATGTTGAGATTTAAAAACAACAAATAACTATTTGATACTGTACAGTAAGTCGACAAAGCCACTTGACAATTTTTACAAAGAAAAATATTGTTTATAATTTTCTTCCCGTATTTCAGTAAAATATCTGTTTTGTGTTTTTCTCTTGGCCTGCTCTAATGAATGATTGTAACTGGATATGGTTGATCTCAAAGTTCTTTGCCCACCCGCCAACACTCATTTTTCAAAACAATAACGGCTACTCAAAAGTACAGCAAATATCCGACAAGGGATTTGAATTCTTGTCTCCTACGGTATCAAACAATATGATGATTGTGTTTAATTATATATCGGCTTGCTTGATGCTTAAATTAAAGCGTTGATTATTTTAAGTTCGGAAGACAACGGACGTGCGTATTATCACTGATAAATCACTTGGCTACTCCAGCTGCATGGGCGCTACGTTTGAGAGGGGGTGCGGGGTCCTCTGTACAGTGCGGGATGGATTTTCAAGAAATATCTTTTTGAAAGCCTATTTCGCATGCATTATTTGTTAGCAAGTCGCACGTTAAATATTGATTAAAGTATATTAAGAGCGTATTTCATGGAATACAAAAGGTCCTGTAAAGTTTGAATGTTTGTCCAAATCCGCCATGGTCTCCGTTTTCGCTCTTGCAGAAAAATCCCAATAACTTAAATAATGTTATAAGTAATGAAGTTTTTCAGTAATCGTTATATTAATAAGTTGTCCTCGTTGCAGCAATAAGCTGATTAGAGGGTTGTTTGCTTGTTATTAAGCGCAAAGATATATAATGGGTAGTCTTTGCAGTGCCCATCATCTGGGGTTTAGTGTTATAAGCCTCCATACTAACCGCTGGAGGGCATACAAAGGGTTGAATTATTCCTTGTTACGCAATACCGTTATCTGTCCTGGTTGTCAACTTATTGTCATAACGGATAATGTCTGTGGTAATAGCACCCAAATGCGTTTGGGATATCTCATCTACCAGACAATAACCAAATGCCGATGTCAATCTAGTCAGCCATCATGGGGGGGAAAAAATCAATCAAATAAGAGTACGAAGCTGAGTGCTATATAATATTGAATAGAACTAAATAGAAGTATAAGATATTGAGTAGAACTAAATAGAAGTATAAAATATTCAGTAGAACTAAAAGATATTGAATACAACTAAATAGAACTATAATATATTAAATACAACTAAATAGAACTATAATGTTACGACAGCGAAAGTCACGTGATCCTGGTAACATGTAATGAGTTCTAGAAAGATCGGGGAACATCACGAATAATCCAGTATTTGCTAGGCGCCCTCTATTCTTGTATACAAGTGCGCCAGACAGTGAATGGGGAATAGAATTGCAGACAGGCAGAGATAGAGACGGACAATTGAGTCAAGCGCGGTAGTAAGTAAAGTGCGTGAATCGTTCGTTGTGAATTATAGCGTGTATGTTAAAGTGACTGTGGAAATTAAGTGTATTGCAAAGTTGCATTGAGGAAGAATAAACTAATTTTATTTAAGAAAGGACTTGTATCGCTGAAGTTTCTCGGAAAAAATTTCT